GAGTGGCCCTTCTCTGGACCCTCTTGAGTCTGTCAACATCCTTCTTGAAGTACAGCACCCAAAACTGGATGCACTACTCCAACTGCGGTCTGACTAACGCCGCATCAAGGGGAAGTATGAGGAAACATGGAAACTACATAATGCATACCTTGCTCTTTTAACAACCCTATAACCTCGCAGACATACTCTTCCTCACCACTGCTCTTTCATTTCACATATAATCAACCTAGTATCATAGACTAAACCAAGGATCAGCAATGTTTTTGGCTGGAGTGCCAAAAACACCACAACTCTCCCCCATGCCTCAACTTGACAGGCTGGGACAGACTGCAGGGGAGCCATGAGGGGCCTGATCCTCATTGCTGGTGACAGCTACATGCATTCATGTAGGTGGATAACAGGCCCAAGGTACACATACAGTCAGCACCAGCATGGAGCCAGTGCCAGGGCTCCAGAACCTGGTGCAGCTGTTTGCAGCTTCTTGGCTGCCTCCACAGCTGGCCTGGGCTCTAGGCAGCTGTAGCAGGTGGTTGGCAGGCTGCAAACAACTGCACTAGGCTCCAGAGCACCAGCTCCATGTGGACAGTGGGGAAGGGGCCCAGGCCCCTCCCTCACCATCCACCCAGAGGCGCATAATGTAGCAAATGCCACCACAGAGCCCAGCTAAGCCTCCAGAGCCCGGTGCTGCTGTGTGCAGCCTCCTGGCTGCAGCCAGGATGGGCTCTGGGCAGCTGCTGCCAACCACAGAGCGCATCCACCGGAATCTTTCCAATTTCTTGAAGTGCGGTGACTTAAACTGGATGCAGTGCTCTAAGTGAGGCCTCAGTGTTGAAGAGAGTGGAAGAATCACTTCCTATTACCTGCATGCAAGCCTCCTGCTAATACAATCCAGCATGCTATCGACTGTTTTTCCAACAATACTACACTGTTGACTCTCAGTCAGCTTGCAGTCCACTATAATAACCCTCAGGTCCTTTTCTGCGATGCTGCAGCTTGGTCAGGTGCTCCTCAGTTTGTATGTGTGTAGCAGATTGACAGAAGTGCAGCACAAGAAATCCTGGCAGCAGAAAGTTTAGGGAAGCACCAGAAAATTTGGAAATCCATTTGGGAATAGACATGCAACATAATCCCTTCTGATTTCCTCTCAGCTCGTGCCAAAAAGATAAAGGGTTTTGATCAGAAAACTCCCATAGCACAGAAAGTCTAAGTCACCAGATTTCAGTGGTACTCAGCACCTGCAGAAGTTGTTCACATCAACTGGAGTTGTGGGTGCCCAGCAATTAAAAGATAATGGGCCATGTGAGAGAAACAGATTTCCAGATTACATATCCTAGTGGGGTGGGGGGGCATAGCTTCTCCTATCACAGTGCCTATTACATCAGTTTTAGGAAGCAAAAAACTTAGTATAGTATTAAGGGCAAGTTGTATTGCCAAGCAACAGCTTTCTTACACTTAATCAAATTTTTGCCCTGTCAAATTGCTGAAGCCTTAACATTTGCCTTGAATGAGAATTTCCATGTCAATCATGAAAGTAAGTGCCATCCGCTAAAAAATAAGTAGCTATTTAGTCCCTTCTAAATTAATGCTTTCTTTTTTTAATATGGATTCCTCCAGGCTATGTTCGCATACTATTCCGTATTGCCCGTGGTCACAAATGGCACTCGAGCCTAAGTGGTTAGAACAAGACAACATTTAAAAGGTCAAGATAACATGAAAATGTTTTTAGGTTATTGGCAAAACTACTGTATGTGGACGGGTCGGCAGACTGACAATAGTTATCTGGTGGTGTCCTACAGAAAGAACCCAAGGGATCAAGTCAGGTGGTTGAGGGAAGGGAGGATTCACTTGATCGATGAGCTTTCCCCCCAAAGTCACAGCTAGGGCACTGCTGGAAGGAAGCTCTGCAGCAGCTTGGACTGAGCATTAGAGATTTCCTACCAGCTCGGCACAGGAAGTTGTTCCTGTGGCTCACCTGAGGGAGTTCCTGTTATGAAGCCAACGGGTGGTAGGTTGAAATGCAATTTCTGAGAGTGATGTAATCCTGGACACCACTCCATAGGCAATGATACTGGTGACCTGGTTACAACCTGCACTGTTGTTGTAGCCCCTCTGCTGGAGTTTTGATCACAAGAAAGAGAAGAAAAAAAAGAGAGAGTGGAATAATTTAAAAGGGGGAAAAAAAGGTTTCCAGTTTTCCTTTGTTTAACTGAAGTGTTTTCCTTTTCCACTTTATTTTAATACAGCGACCTAGTGCCTAACAGATGGAGACAGGACAGATGCACTACTGGGAGTGCCCATAAAACAGGTTGCTAAAATACAAATGGGGTAATTCTTTTTTTTTTTTTTTTTTTTTTTTTTAAATAAAGTAACCATTGTTGAAACCTCCCTTTACCAAAAGAATTTGCCCTTTGGTCTCCGGATAAAGCTGGGGGGAAAGAAAAGAGGACAGTAAAAAAAAAATCAAATACATTATCTGTACAAGAAAATCCCATTGTACTGTATTCATGCACGTCAGGAGCACAGACTGGCATGGTGGAATAGCAGAAATAGGTGTATATTTCAAGAGTTTTTAAAATTTGATGATAACTTCTCTGCATTTCTTAGGACTCTTCTCCCACTTCCCTCCCTCAAGTCTACTATAATACAGGTCAGAAAATTCTCTCTCCTTCAGTTCCCAATCCTCAGGAGTTGTTTAGAGTTAAACTTCCCAAATGAGTGACAAGTGGGGCTTCCAGCATACAGTACCTTAACATGGAGCAAGTGAGTGATACAAGCCATTCTTGTGTAGCCATTCTTGCGATCATCAAGAAACAAACAGAAAAATTCAGGGGATTCATCAGAAAAAGGGCATGAAGAGAGGGGGGTCTCCAGAAGGGAGTGGATATCAGTAAAACACACAGAGAAAATAAAAGGTTTGTTATGTGAAACACTGGTAACTGCAATTAAGAGAGAAAAGCCTCATTTCCATATCCATACATTTATTTAGCATCTTGTTTTCTTGGTCCTTATTACATTACTAAAGTAATATTTATCTGGCTAAGGAAGTGAGTTCCCTTTTTGTAGTGACAAACACATAACTTATTCAACGTTATGGAGCCAGAGTTCACTGCCAACCAACAAAGCACAATGTTGATAGAGTTGTTTGTTTTTTATAAGCTCTTTTCACCATTTGAAATGATACGCAACCACTTTCAAGATACATTCCACGGTATTATGTAACAGCTTTCCTAATTTGTAATGGATACATAGTTTTAGTTTTACATGTCAAGTTTTGCGTGAAGCATTTTATTATTTCATTCAGCATATGCCACTTATAAATAATTTGATCTTTTTCCCCCAGAGCTGCCTCTAGCATAGGGAAATAGCCTACTGACACTATAAAAGACCCTACCTTCCACTGGTATACATACCCTTCCATCAGCAGACAAAACACATAGACCGTGTGCCTGGCCCTATTTAATTCACAAATTGGCAGTTATAAACGTGCTACCCAGAATTTTCAATATAGACTGCACCTTTGATGAAAGGGTTTCACACAGCAGCCACTTGCAATAAAACATAAGCTAGCACCCTGTCCAGTTAGTGATTTGTGTTAGAAATGCTTGCTTTTGGCATGATTACTCTGGTATCCTTTATTCATGTGGTCCAAGTGAGTTGGTGGTCCTTAGACTAGCGAGTCAGGGTGCCTCTGTGCCAGAGATACTTGTCCATGAGAAGACCTGAGCATGTTCAGAGGACCAGTTCCTTTCATCCCACCAGATCTGCCCAGTTTACAGGTGCAAAAAAAGGGTGAGATTTGATGTCTTCAGCACCAGCTGCTCCAGCCCCAAGACGCTCCACAGGGTTAAACTGCAAAAGCTTAAAAGATCCACAAAATTTAAAATCAGTAAGAATGAGGACTATTACTTAAAAAGATCTAAGAATTAGATACATCACTGCCCGATCACATAGGCAACTTTTCAAGAACTCAAAGCACAATACATAAATATCTGTAAGATCCAGCAGACAGAATACATCACCTTCTTGGGAATTATTTCTTCATTTCACAGGCATGCACTTACACTCTGCTAACACTACATATTCTACCGTACAATCCTCTGGAAAACTGCATGCTTGGACTTCTATTCTCCAGAAGCTGTAACCTTATTTTAAAAGACAGACTCAACGCCATAGCTGGCATTGTAGAACTGGGTGTGCTGACTTCAGTATACAGTCACCCTTTCATTACCATCACAGTTAGGTAATACCACAGATGATGGACTTTAACTGTTCTCTGCTTGAAGTTTCATGAAAAGGTCACTGCAGTACTAGAATACTGTACCGTGGTACAAACAGCTTTTATTTTCTGAAGTGCTTCTATAGCGCTTTTCTACACAATCTTTAAAGTCTTATAGCAAATGTAAAAGCGAGATCTTGGTGAAAATTGGTGCAATAGCTTAATGGAAATTTGTTAAAATTAAGCAGCTTGTTTGCTTTTTACTGTCTATCTAAAAACCATACAGCATACTCACAAAGGCTCAGTTCACATGGAAGGAAAGTCTAGTATCTTTAGTTGTTGAGTTTAATGCTGATTGGTCTCTTTAAAGGGATTGTAAAGGAAATCATGCAAACAGTCTAATAAAGAGCCAGACAAATTTTTCTAGTCTTAGATGCTTGTTTTTTGTTGGGTTTGTTTGTTGTTGGTTTTTTGTTTTTTGTTTTTTGGGGGGGGGGGCAGGGGGGTTTAAATAAAATTTATTTTTCCTTTCGGTCAGAATGTTTCAGATCAAAAGTCAATCATACAGCTTCTTCTCCTAGATGTCATGATGAGGTAGTATGCCTTCTCATTTCAATGCATGCCAGTGTGTAGACCTGAGAGTAAAAAAAGACTATATACCCATATGCATTTTAATCAGCACTCTTGGCTCTACCATTTAAACAAATAATGTCACTGGTACAAGTAACTGTGTTACTTGGATGTTTTACACTGGCCAGCAAATGCACTTGCAATCACTGTCATTCTGTTGTCTGCTGAAATAGAATAAGTGATAGCAGTTGAAAAAGTGAACATGAATAATTTTTAATTTTAAAGTTTTGTGTTCCAGGACAAAAACTTTTAACCTTGGAAAGTAAGTGGCATCAGCAACTACTCTAGGTACCTACGTTATCTATTTCAACATTTTCTGTGCTTAGATGGCAAAATCTTGAAGCAACACACAACTTTGGTTGTATACAAAATACCAACCACAATAAAGAAATGTAGTTAATTCTTTTGGCAAAAGATATAAAATACAATTAAAGAGATCTTTGCTTTCCCTTTAGTGAAAAACACTTAAGTTAGCTAGATGAAGAAGTTAGTTACAGTGGAAGCTATGTGCCACAAGACAAAGTTTAGCATGGTCTTCCATGTAGCTGAACACTGATCCCTGCAAGTTATTTTGTAATGTTATGACCTGCATAACCTATGCGGGGGTGGAAGAGGAAAGTCACAATGACAAATTGCTAACCATGCCAGGAGACCCTTTCTTCCTTTTCCTGACAAAGCTTCCTCAACAATGAATGGTAGTTTCCTTGGACAGTGACACAACAGAAATTTGATTTACTAACCTATGGAGCTGAACCTCTATCCGCTAAGTTACCAGACAGCACTTGAGGGCTTAACCTGATCTGACACACTTCCTAATGGACATAGTGGTGACTGCTTTCTTTACACATAGGACCTTATTATCTATATGAAATAAAATTGGGCAGCTGCCTCAAAGCAAAGGAGTATTCTATCAGTCTGCGACCTCAAACTGTGAGTGGTAAGAAGTCTTTTGATTGGAATAGTTAAAAGTAGACCAAATGATACTAATCTAAGAATTGGACTAGAGGATTTATAGTTTTACAGCTACAGGAGTGTATGTGAGCCATTTCCTTCATTGCATATTGTTCAACTGTTACACTCTTGGGTGATGTTACACACATTGGTGCTACACTAGCACTCAATTTGGTGGCATATTGCAGCATGAAGTACGCTGGATTTATCTAACATCTAAATCTGCTTCCAACCTTCAATAGAGGATATGCTAAAAAAGATATCTACCTGTTGCAAAAAACAGATTATTCACTATTTAAAACAGGAGTTATATTCTTAACAAAGGATGCCATGAATATTTCTCCTTTCTTAAAGAGTAGTGACACATTCTCATTTATAGCAAAATCCTACAAGAGTTGCACGACACCTCTGAGATTTTCAAAAAAACATCAACTTTAGCTTACCTGTTCTCACCTTGAAGTCAATTCTTCATCTTTTACAAGATGTTTGGCATTTAAAAAACCAGATTATTCCAGAACAATACATTCATGCAAAATTCATTAGTGCTGGCAGGACAAGTACCGACATCCCAACAACCAGCTGTCTGTAGTTATATTTATTTTACCACTTCATTAGTTAGAAAAATGTTTGCACATATAGGCTTGCTTACATGTATAGGATAAATTCTCAGTTAAATTACCTGCTGAATGAGTGATCTGGCCTCCTCTGATATGTGATCTGGTACATTCAGAGAAGTGTGAGTGTTTATTCCT